AAGTGGCGCACTATATTAAATTACTAGAGGTGTTTCCTGTTTCTTTTTGCTTTGTTTGTTCCAAGAGATTCATTGCCTTTTGTTTCACATTTTTGTAGTTGCCCCATTTCACCCCCCTTATCGTTCTACTTATCCACGACCCCAGCTCTTCTAACAAACCCTGAGTGCCGTTCTCACAAGTAGCGATTATTTTGTTTGTCTTATCTCCACCCTCTTAGTTTCAGGCCCAATTTTCTATCCCTTGTATTAATACCCCATGTGGTAGAAAAAATATCTTCGTTACATATTTGAAAAAATCAATTTATATATACATATTATATATATATATATATATATATATATATATTATATATATACATATTATATATTATATATATTTATATATATATATATATTTATATATATATAATATATATATATATATATATATATATATATATCGCACCTCCAGATCTATAAGGGCACAACTCAAAAAGTATAGTTTTGAGTAAATCACGTTTGAAGTTTTAGACAAAATAGTTTATGCTATGAAATCACATATAATTTAAATACAAATAATTTTACTACAGCTAACTATTTTTATTCACAAGTATTTTACATCAGTATCATTAAAAAAACGTAAAAATAAATATTTAAATTGTTTTTTGACATGTGCCTATATTACCACTCAAAAATGTACATCTCAAGCATGTCAACTCCAAAAGTGCCTGTTTTACCATTAATAAAACGGATATGACACTATAGGTCATCTATAGGTTTGTTAATAAAACAATACAAAACAATTAAACTGTTTATTTCATTATACAATAATACTTGAATTGGAATCAGAAACAATCTTACTGCCTAAAATTATTTAATTCTATTCTACTAACTTATTCTCATTACTCTATTGACATAAATAATGAAAATACATTTAATACAAAGTTGGTAATCATTGGACTTGTACTATTAAAATATTATGTATTTCAACAATTTAAATTAAAAAAATCCACAAGGAAAAATTCCTGTAGCTGGCTGTATACCACGTATAACAAAAAGAGGTTAATCTTTGTAAATGGGTATATTTATTTAAAAAAACCCTTAAAAGGGCCACATCAATAAAACAAACGTTTTCGGACCACACAGTCCATCATCAGGTTTTTAAAATCGAAAAAATGCTAGGTCACAATGCCTGAGCCACCAAAATACTAGGGTTAAAAAAACCCTTTAAATTACATTTAGTTATGAAATGTTGTACATTTTGTTGTAAAATAACTGTGATGTTCAGTATTAAATTAGACTATAGGTAACACATGGCTCAATCTGGTTCCAGAGCCGGTGAGAGGGAACCTCTGCACTCGGGAGAACAGCATGGAACTGATTGACAAGATACTTTTGATACTTTTTTTTTTTTTTTTAATTTAAATTACTTTAGTAATATTTAAAAAGATAATTAACTTTTGTGAAATTAAGATCACATGCAACTGCATCATTCAATATCATCTGCATCGTAATCATTAAGATACGCTGATGGATTCAAATTTTTATAAAAACTTATGGTAGGGCTTTGTAATAAGATTTGCTTCGCAGAGTGATAGCAAATCATTTTTCTTTGCATTTGATATAGAGGGTGGATGGGAGAATGCTTTTTCAAGCACTAAGTTACTTAATTTTCCACGATAACGTGATCTGACATTTATTTTTAAAAACTGAGAAAAATTTTATTCCTCGTCGTATTCAGTTTTGTACAATAAAATAAATGGTTCATTCTTATTAACATGCATTACTTTTATTTGATTCCATGTTACTTTTTTATTTTCTGAATTTTTTGAAAAGTTACTCCCAATCTGCCTGATAATCTTTTAAAATCAATTACATCATCTGTAACTATTTCTGTAATTTTAAATGGACTGACGGTTTTCTTTGCATTTTGCAGTACCGTAACCCACTGGGAAGGAACAAAGATAGTACCAGATTTTAATTGCCTTTGTTTTTGCTTTTCAATTAGGGCATGCATCATATCCCCTTCATTTTGTGTATGCCCTACTTCCAAATACTTATGTGTAATACTTTTGATACTAACTCCTGAACTGCATACAATGGCAAGTACTGGCCAAGTACTTGTTTTTGTTTTGTCCTACACAATTATCACTGTAAAATATAACATCTTTGTCTTGGCAGTGATCTTTTAAAAACATTTAATAAGCATGAGCCAATTTCATTGCTACCACGCTTAGCAACACCTTCATGCCAGACGAAACAGAAACCTTGCTGGTTCCAATTTCATAAATAGTGAAATTAAAAGTAAACAAATTTTCTTTTATAATAAAATAGGAAGCATCACCCTGTGGTGTTTGCATCACAGCTTGCAAATCAAAACAAGCACAAACACAATTTCCTTTTTTTGCTTCAGCGGCATCAAGTAGTTTTTGCTTCCGAGCTAATTCTTTGTTTCTTAGGTGTTTGTCATGTTCAATTTTTAGTCCTTCTTGTTCATCAGGACTAGCATTTTTAAATGTTTCACACTTTACACATAAATCCTTTTTTGATTTAAAGAATCCTATATTAAAATTATTACTAAAAACATGAGCATAAAGAGCATAAGTTACTTTTTGAGTACTAGTGTCATTAAACTGTTGCACAAACATTCTATGCATTTCTGCTATTGTAAGTTGGCCTTCAAGGTATTCCCTGTCTGTTTGAGCTCTCAAATAATGGGATGGAATGCGAGGGAAACTATTGATGTGGTCTTTTATTTTTTGTACAATAGCAGCAGGAATAACTGGGTGATTTTTATGTTTCCCACGTTTATCCTTTTCAAGAACTCCAACAGATAGGTTTTTGGCAATAGCTGTGCGAAATGCCTTAGCAGTGTTATCAAGAGTTGATAAAAAGAAATTTTTACAGACTCGTTGCAATCCCTGACTAGTATTAAAATTAAACGCATGATTATTACTTCTAGTGCTCCTCCTTATATACTATACTGGCTCAATTATTGTTACATGCCTTACAATAAATTCTATTTGGCGATTAATATCACACATGCCCCAGTTATTATTAAAAATATCTTTTCTACCATCGTGGGTAACCTTAATAGTACACTTTAATCTACATTTTTCTTCATTACAAGGTGGCTTAATACTTCTACTAGCTACTTGATTTCCTTTAGCATTTGTGTATGATATCCCAGAATTGCGCTTTTCTTTGGCTTGAGCTGACTTCCAGCGTCTGGTATTGGGTTTTCGTTTTCTTGTCTTGTTCTGGTCTAAACAAAAAAAAATTATGATTTTAATGACTTTAGCTAATGCTACAAATCTATGACTTTCATTCAAGTGTATGCAGTTTGGAAATTGTTAAATGACAAATTCATTAACTTACCTTGAGAATGTAAATCCTCATATGTTTCATTGTCACTAACAGGTACAGTTCCTGGTATTTCACCATTTGTCTCTGTTTGGCTTCCTTCATCCATCTTTTGCCTTTTAAGTATGTGGGCAGTAGAAAGAGTATTAACTAACGCGAAACACACTATACAAAAATAAAGTTGTTGAATAACATAACCTAATTTTCATTCAGTCTGATCACAATTCGCGATAGCCAATTCCGACAGGGGGCGCTGAAGATTTTAAAGATTGACGATAACTTCGGGAAAGCAAATCATTTTATCATTTGATCTCGAAGCTATAAAACGTTTAATATAAATCATTTACACGTTGTTTTGCCAAATAAAAGTTGAAGTACGTTCTTCAAAGTTTATTTGTTTGAGATTGGAGTATATATACATAAGGTAATTGACTGATCTGACCAAAACTGAATAAAAATAAAATTAAATGTTTGTTTTTTCTACAGTATATCTGAAACACGGGAAGTAAAATTTACATTATCATAATTATTTATATGGTTAAAAGATCGGCAGAAATATTTAATTGAGGCTGAGGCAGTTTTGGAGCTGACCACGTTATATTTTGTAAATTACGCCTTACGTTTTCTACTAATAACTTCATCATGCCGTTGGGGCAATTAAGCTGATTTAACAGTATTTTTCTTTAGTCGTCTCAATTTTGTTTCAGGTGTTATTATAAAATAAATTTGGTATAAATATGTTAAAATATAAATAATATTTTAATCAGCTTTCTTTGTGGTAATACGAGCCCAACTAAAAATTTAATTGTTTACCTATTATATACTAAAGGGCACAACTCAAAAAGTGCCTGTGTTTACGGTACAAAGGAACAATAAAATGTGGTTAAAAAGGCACATCTAAAAACTCCTGAAAATTAACGCCTTCCGTTAATTTTCAGGAGTTTTATTTCTTCGAGTAATAGGATGGGTCTTCGGCTCACAATTCTAGAGCAACTATTTACTTCCTTAATTAAACGTTTTCTGATCGATCGACTAATAAATACACGTGGTACAATTAAATGGCCCCCTCTAGATCCTGTGACTTAGCGCCTAACGATTTCTTTTTTGGGGTTTTCTCAAAGAAAACATTTATAGGCTTCAATTTGAAAGGGCCACAAACCTAGTCGAATTAAGGGCAAAAGCCCTACTGTTAGCACAAAGAGCTGGAATATTTGAGCCCTTAATTCATTAATCTGCTTTCCTAATTTTTATTTTTTGTTAGGTAAAATTTACGAAGTTTGTAGGTTCTTAATTAGGTAGTATTTTTTAAGTTTGGAAAAATTTTATTGTTTTTTTTTATTTAATTTTATTTAATTAATTTAATTTAATTTAATAATATTCTTATCCCCATTTTTTTTGCCTTATTGTTAAAGTTTGTCCATAAGATTTGTACAATTTGCAGTGACAATAAAGCATATTACTTACTTACTTACTTATTTGTATTGCTATTAAGGCTAAAAAATAACCAAGAAATTGAGTACAATCTATCTATGGATATATCCATTCTAGTTATGAAGTGATTTAATCATATGTGTAAAAAAAATTGTTCCATATTATATTTTGAAAACGATTCCAATTAAACTAAGATATAATAGTGATAATAAATAATAAACCAATGTAAACAACCCATTTTATTATTAAATGTAACATTATTTATAATTATTATCTTGGTGTTATAATTAATAACAACAAAAGTAACGTTTAAGGTGCTTCCTTCTCTGTATTCGAACTACTGCCGTTTTCAGTTTTTGTTAGAGCAACATCTTCAATATGTTGTACTGTCCTGTTTCTTCCGAAACATTTTTTAATTTCTTCACTAAATACATTACTATAAGGTTGTTTAACTTTCTTGCTTATTTTGTAGACATGCACAACAAACTCTAACAGGGATGTGACTAGAGCTATCGCAATTCCCGCAAATGTTATAGCTATCAATCCATTGATATGAGCTACTGATTTTGGGGCAATCTCGGAGGAACCATCAACCTACAAAGACATTTATTATATTTTTAAATACAGTGTACAAGTACACTAGCGTCTAGACAGCATACCAACAAATCAGGCAGATCGATATCGATTCATTCAAATAAGAGTTTTTGATATCGGAAAATATGATAATCGAACACCGGAGGGACCGCAGACGTTCGGATACAATTAGCGTCTCTTAGCAAAGACAATGACGTCGACTTTGCTAAGTATCAAGACAATTACTCTACACACACATACACAGTACACCTCAAATTGTAAGATTGGCGAATGGATTTAGTGTCCGCAGTCATTTAAACACAAACAAACAACAAACAATGATAATCGAATCGTATTTCCTAGTGTGTTTGTCAAGTGTCAAAGTCAAATACTTTTGTTTATTTTGTTAATATCATAAATCATTACACATATTTTTAAACTCATTTTTTTTAAATATGAAATGCCCAACTTGTTGCAAAACATTTGCAAAAAATTATATTGCGCAACATATTAGAAAGTTTCATGGGGAACACCTTGCCCCAAGAGTATACAAAGTTGCTAGTAATTATGCCTTTACTTGTACAGTATGTAAGAAAAATTTCAATGAAAAATCTAATTTAAATCAGCATATGAAAACTCTTGATGATATCAGGGTAAATGTGAAGTCCAAAGAATGGAGAAAACAGTGTGGATTGTGCGATTTCCGTGATTGCAACAAAAATCTTACCTATAAGTTTAAAAACATTATGAGTTACTAATAGATTATAACAGACAACTGAATACCTGTTAGGAGAAATTCCACTGCTTTTTAGGCAATGCATTTTTACCTAAAACACATAGGTAATCCATGTGTTGCAACTAATTTAAATAATTTTAATTCTTCCATTTATTTAAGTCACAATTACCATTTTCTAATAATTTAGGTTATGGTTATGGTATTGTTCTCCCGATGACATAACCAGCACTACGAGCTACTAAATTCAATTCGATTGTATCGATCTGAATTTGATATCGATACCGAATCGCCTGATTTGTTGGTTTGTTGTTTAGACGCTAGTGTACAAGTACAACTTGAATGTGTAATTTGAATTGCACATTTGGTACTGGGCGAGCTTGATTCTGGCATACTCCCACATAACAGCGACATTGTAACGTTAATACTGAATTTTCAAAAAGATGGATGAAAACTATCAGACTCGCCGATGGCCTCCAGAATCGCCTGTTTTGTAACCATTAGATTGTTTGATTTTTTACTTATAATCAAGAACCGACAAATTTAGATGATTTAAAAACTAAAAGTAGAAAAGCGTGGTACTCATATTATTCTAAACATGATACCTGCATGCGCCTTGTACTCGTGAACTGCTAAAACTGTTCGATGCTTTTATTGAAATCAATTGAAATCACAGAAGGTCTTTTGGATCACCTCGGTCACAACTATTTTACATTTTGAATGTTATTGGTTTCTCTTAAAAACAAGCAATAAATGTAGCATATTTACATTATACATATATTATATATATATATATATAATATATATATATTATATATATATATATATATATATATATTATATAAATAATATATATATTATATATATATATATATATATTATATATATATATATAGTATATATATTATTATATATATATGCTGGTTTCAAGCCAGGTTGGAGAAGAAATGAGAAAGAAGAAAATAGCTTTGAATGTCGTAAAAGGGTGCACTGATACCTAAAAAAGTCCTTTAACTGACCAATTCTTGGCTCTTCCAGGCACATTATAGTCCATTAATAATAAACAACACTGCACCTAAGACAGTATAAAAGTGTGTATACCTGGGAGAATTAACACATACATCTGGCTTTCTACTTCTAGAAGTCAACAGAAGAATGAAATTGGCTTGAGCATTTTTTTTTGTAGAAATGCAATTACATTTAAAACAAAGATGTATATCCATCTGAACAAAAAAGCATTCGATCAGTGTATACTACCAACCATGACATACGGCTGCATAACTTGGATAGTACAGAAAGAGATAATACCAAAACTCAAAGTCACTCAAAGATCAATAGAGCATGCTACGTATAACAAAGAGAGATAAAAAATAATAGAATGGATTAGACAGAAAACCAAGGTCACTGATGTAATTCACAGAAATGAATCCTTAAAATGGTAGTGTGGGGGCCATTTAGCGAGAAGAACTAACCATAGGTGGTCCACTAGAATTACACTGTGGAATTCAAGGGACGTCACGACACCAACAATACGTCCAAATTTAAGATGAAACTGTGACATAAGGAAATAAGCTGGTACAACATGGCTCATAAAAGCGAATTTTAGACAAACGTGGGCAAATTATTAATCGACGTACAAAGAAGACTACAAAGATAGAGAATTGCTAAAGATTGTTAAATACCTTAAAACGTGGTATCTGAGAAATATAATAAGAGAAATATCGATGAAGAATACTAAAACTGATATGTAGAAATAAAACAGATTTCCTAATAAAAAAAAATCGTGAATGGATTCAGATATCAAATCCTGGACAATTATTTCAATGTGGCAGAAGATTGAGAAGCCTTCGCAGTGGTGATCGCCAACGTCGGATACCTGTGATTTGCCAGGTGAAGAAGAAGATAAAATTTAAGCAAAAATTTTTTTGAAATTCCTACTATTGTACTTACGTCACATACTTCTCCTGCATATTTTTCTTCCCACCATTTTCTTTTAATTCGTTGCAATTCTCCATTTGATTGTAATTTGATAATTGCTTTATTTAGGGGAGCTAAAAGTGGAGATCCTAAAAAATATATAAAATTTACAAAAATGTTTTATCAAAAAATAGAAAAGCAAATTATTTTAGATCACCTTAAGCCAGCGTTTCTCAACCTTTTACCAGTTGCGACTCAATTTTATATAATTAGGTACTTTCACCGCGCCCCCCTTCACATACAATAAAAATATATAAAAATATATGAATCCAGGACCGATTTTCAGGGGGGGGATGGTGGTACATGAACTTTTTTCAGTGGTGCCGAAATTTTTTTAAGGCACTTTTCACACACTTAAGTGCCATAAAGACAATCAAAACCTTATGGTTATTCTTCTTCTTAGTCGTTAACCTGATGCAGGTATCGTGATATCATGAAGCTGTTAGGTAATTTTTCCAATGTTCCTCCACGTTTTTCTATCTTCTGCCAATCTAGCACATTCTGACAATGGAGCGCCAATGGTAGCAACAATATGGTCCGTGTATCGTGTAGGAGATCTACCTCTACTTCTTTTGCCTTCTACTTTTCCCTGGATGGTAAGTTTTTCAAGACCATTTCTTCGAAGCACATGCCCAAAATAGCTTATTATCTGCTCTTTTATTTGTGTTCTTAGTCTTTTCTTTATGTTTAGCTGGACCAGTATAGATTCATTTGTTCTTCGGGCCACCTATGGTATTCTCAGCATTCGTCTCCAGCAGTACATCTCAAATACATCTATGTTCTTTTTGTTTTTCTCAGTAAGGGGTCCAGCATTCCGATGCATAAGTAAAAACTGGAAAAAACTAGACTTTTTACTAGTCTCATTTTTGTATCGGTAGTAATTTCATGGCTTTTTCAAATTTTTGTTAATTTTGCCATAGCGCTTTTTGCGATTGCTGACCACCGCTTTATTTCTTCAGTACAGCCTCCTTTGTTGGTTATTAATGAGCCCAGATACACAAATTTATCTACAACAGCGATATTGTTTATCCTAACCAGATGATTTTGATTGTTGTTAGCTCTGTCAATTATCATGATTCTTGTTTTATCCCTGTTTATTTTAAGGCCCATCGTTAAGCTTACGTCTTCTATCTGTTGTAGATCTTATCTTATCGTTATTAAAGTATATTTATTTGTCAAATTTTTTAGCCAGTCTCTCTGGCCCTTTTACTAAACTTACAGTAAAATCTTAATTACTAAATTGCCGAGAATACGTATATTTATTGATATGTGGCAACCGATCTTTGCGAGAAGTTCCGAGTTCCGAGTTCTCCTCTCTCCCCCTCAGACCCAGACCTTGGTCGAGTCAGTTTAGTCAGTCCAGTCAGTCCTTCTGCATCTGTTAAATTTATTGTGAATGTTTATGTCATAGTTTGCGTGTTTTAATTGCAGTTCATGGTATTAAAATATTCCAAGCAGTAGGTAAATATACTTATATTTATACAAAATCATGGATAAATTTTTAATGGACGTAAGCGAGCATTCGATACTAGTGATGCATCAACAAGTATACAGAGTATACAAATATTTTCAACATTAGTTAAATTTTGGGTTTACGTTTACTGAAGTAAATAAAGAAGAACGGCCTCTATGTATCATTTGCTCAAAAATTTTAGCAGCCGACAGCATAAAACCAAATAAACTAAAAGACATTTGGAAACGCTTCATAGTGAGTGCCTTAATCAACCGAGTTAAAACTAAAATCACATGAAAAACAAAAATCATTTAAAAAAAAAAAAACTTTGACTGTGAACGAAAAAGTTTTACTTGCCTCTTATAAAACCTCCCATCCAATAGCTAGATGTATAAAAATCTCACATTATTGGTGAACAGCTTATTTTGCCAGCTGCAAATTTTGCCAAAAAATTGGAGTCTATAGCTTTATCAAATGATACTGTTGCCCGTCGAATTTGTGATATAGCTGCAGATATACAGGATCAGCTACTCGGGAAGTTGCGTGACAAGCTGTTTTCGATTCAGCTTGATGAGGCAACAGATAGCAATAAAGATGCTTATTTTATTGCCTACGTTTGATTTTGTGATGGCATATTATTAGTAGAAGAACTACTTTTTTGCAAACCGATAGAACTTAAAGCAACGTCGGTCGCATTATTTGCTATCTTAAACGATTATATAAATGAAGCAAAAATAGAGTGGAATTGGGTTGGAATATTATGCACAGATAGTGCTCGTGCAACGTCCGGAAAATTTCATAGTCTACAAGCGCTTGTAAAACAAAAGACTCCAATGTGTATATGGACACACTGTATGATCATAATTACATAAAAATGAGACCTTTGAAAACCAGAATCTTTTCTGCACTTTTTTGAACATTCAGCTTCAAGGAGCTAATACACATATATTGGATACGAGTGACGAAGTTAATGGTTTTTGTAAAAAATTGGAATTGTGCGGTAGAAATTGAAAGCAAAAAAACCTAGAAATGTTTGCAAATGTTAATGAATGTATTAACACTTACAAGGTTAAAAAACAACACGACGAAGTTGTTTTTGTAACCATTGAAAATAATTTAGCGATGCTGATTAAAAATTTTAAAAGATATTTTTTTGCCGACGACAAATTAATACGTAGTTACGAGTGGGTTCGGAATCCGTTCCAAATTACACCGGAAGGGCTCTCTACTGCCGAAAAAGAAACCCTCATTGACTTTACGGCAAAAGATGAAATCAAGAAACAGTTTAATAATAAATCCCTCTTTGAATTTTGGACAGGAGTGAATGATGCGAAACAGGATTTTCTGCGGTGGCTGCTTTGAATACCAAATATAGATACAAGCTAAATATAAAAAAGAAACTGAGAACGTTTATTCCTAATATTACAATCCGTTTCGATAAACTTTGCTCTACAAAACAAGCTCAAGGAAGTCACTGATTTATCATTAAACTTGTTCATAATTTAGTGTTCAGTGCTCTTTATAATTATACCTGTTATATCAGTGTTCATGTGCATTTTATTTTGTAAAAATTTTGTTTTGCTTTGATTTTAGTAAATTAGTCTTTTTAGTTAATTAGTTTTTTTTCGAATAGGCTCAGCCCCTCCCTTATTAATAATACCGCGCCTTACAGGTTGAGAATCACTGCCTTAAGCAAAAAGTGCTTTAACATTCAAAATGTTTTTCATCTTCTTTTTATGTAGACATGATTCTGTCTGTTTTTCAATGTGCCTCCAGTAAGTTGTCGTTCCATCGGTTTCATGGTCTTTCTAATGATAGTCTTTCTATTGGGGAACCGTCACTTGCCGTCTTTACCACTTTATTTGTTGACATTCGGCTTAGATGATCATTTCATTCTACTCTTTTATTTCATATCCAGTTGATGTTCCTTGATGTTCTCAACCTTTCATCTACGTCGTATATTTGTACTTCTAGCTTTGTCCAATAGTGTCTTACCATCAAAAGTGTTTTCAGCTCTGCTGTTTGTAACATTCTTTTTGTCCTCTTTGTGTCAGGTCGTATTTCTGCCACGTTTTATTTCTCCATATTGTTTTAATTAGGCAACCTGCAGCTCTGTTTGCTCTATTCAATTGATCTTCCACTTTAGTTTCGAGCTTTTCGTACTTAGATAATGTGATACCTAGATATTTAAACTCCATCATTTGTTCTATTATCTGACCTGCTAACTCCAATTTACATCTAAGAAAATTTGCTGTTACATGCATTTTGTCTTTTTTGGCGAAATTGACATGTTAAATTTTCTGGCGATTATATCTAATTGGAGATACGTTGTGAATCATCTTCACTTGAGAGAGTAGTATTGCGTCGTCTGCATAGAAGATTATTTTAAGTTGTTGTTCACCCATCTGGTATCCTTTTTTAGTTCTTATTTTGTAAAAATGTTCTTACATTGAAAATATTGTACATATTTATTTATTCTTTTGTACAGTATAAATATCTTTTTTAATAACATTTAAAAGTGGACTATTTTGATAAAATATTAAACATTTTATTATTTATTGTAGTATTTTAATTCGTACAAAAGCAATGTTTGTCGTGTGTCAGAATGTTAAATAAAATATTGCTGAATACAACATAACTGGCCAAAATAAAAATGTAGAGATAATGTATATTATATTATATTCACTAAACTTACTTCCATCTATATTTACAAATGAAAAATTTTTTGGCTTAAATTCAGTACTTATCTATTTTTCCAACTGTTTGATTTTTCAAGAAAAAACTATTTAATATTTCCATACTACTGTATAATTTTTTTATAACAAATAAATTTTATAAAAAATGTTTTTACTTCTCCACCTCTGGCTACCATTCCACTGATGCATAATTAGTTGTTAATTTTATCATTAATGTAGCCACCGTCCTCTTGATTATTCGTTCTATCAGTTGATTAACAGTTAGGCTTAGGAAATCCAATCGCTCGAAATTCCCTCCTTTAGTTAATTTCATGATTTTTGATTTGTGGGACTTAAGTCAGGGACTATATTTCATTCTATTAGTTGTGCCGGAGTAGAACGGCATAGCAAAATGTATAAATGCAAACTGTGTTTCTGACACCGTTGTCTTCAAAATCAAATAATTTTTCTCAAGCTTAGGAAGCTATTTACCACGAGTACGTTATTTTAACATATATATGGAAGTATAATTTGTTCAGAATGTTTTAAACCTATTATAAGACTGTAAATAAAAATATATTTTCGTAAAATAGTTTCGAAACACAATTCAGATTTCTGCTATCTGGTTTCTTGTACTCATACAGAGTAGATCTGAATAAAATGAAAAAGACAGCAAATATTTGATTTCACGCAAACAGCGTCTATGTATCTGTTAATACGTATTTCGACCTAATAGGTCTCATCAGAACAGTTATTTATAGGCGTTCTCAACGTGAAAAATATATATTTTCTATCTTTTAAGAAGCAACACTAAAATGGCTTCTGTATGGACGCAATAGCGACATCTGATAATAAATCCGTAAAATAGTTTCGAAACACAATTCTGTCAAACAGATTTCTGCTATCTGAACCTTCTAAAAATTTCAAGGTATTACAGACGTTGATTAAGATGTTAAAAGAGGCATGGAAAATCTAAAATTTGCATTTGTTGAAAAGACATGTCGTGGAATGCAAATTTTAGATTTCTCATGCCTCTTTTAACATCATTATCAACGTCTGTAATACCTTGCAATTTTTAGAAGGTTCAGATAGCAGAAATCTGAAATGTGTTTCGAAACTATTTTACGGATTTATTATCAGATGTCGCTATTGCGTCCATATTGAAGCCATTTTAGTGTTGCTTCTTAAAAGACAGAAAATATTGATTTTTCACGTTGAGAACGCCTATGAATAACTGTTCTGATTAGGTCGAAATAGGTATCAATAGATACATAGATGCTGATTGCGTGAAATCAAATATTTGCTGTCTTTTCATTTCAAAAATATTTTTAATTCTAAATAAAATATTACAGTTTTTACGCTTATTTAAAAAAATATTTGATTCACAAAGACCTAACTATACAATTGACTACTATAGCATTTTTTATATAAATATGCTTGCACTATTTATATAAAGTGACGTCACTCATATTTAAAATTTCCAGAACGTCAACCTTAGAGGTAAAATTTTCCTAACAGGGCTATAACCCATACGGAACTTCGCAATCTTTCGGGCGTGAACATGGTATACTAATCAGAAAAATTGTATTTATAAATAGGTACATATTAAATTTAAATTAATAGTTTTAAAAACTAATTATTGTTGTGCATTTTGATTGTGCTATGCCAAAACAAAAAAATAGTATGTAGAAAGCTGATAAGCTTTCATATAAGATTGATTATTTTAAACAAGAAATAATGTCGGGACGTTTTTACTATTAAAAGCCTAAAACTAGGGGTAAGTTTAAAATTTAGAATATACAGTCCGTCCCAAACCCTTCTTTCAGTGCGTCATAGTTGTTCGAATTCTCTCTAACGCATTAAGCTAGAAGTGACAGAAAAAAACGTGAGTCTCTGATTATTATACATAGAACTTAGAAAATTAGGTATCGGTCACGGAAATTCGCATATTAAAGCGAATTCTACTTACGAACGTATAATTGGTTGGAGTTTAGAATACGCTAAATAGATATCCAATCAATTATGCATATAAATATAATTTGACACAGATGATCTTGATAATGACAGTGACAGTACTTTCACAATGTCAACTGATAAAATGATAATTGCCGTTCCAGGTTAGTATTTTCAGACATTTTACCTACAGTGAAAATTAAATTTTGTATTTATTGTCATAAAAATATTTTAAATATTCCGAGATATACCGAGAATGAACAAAGACTAATATTAAAATTATTAAATTAGTTTCAATTAGAAAAAGAGGCTGAGTTATCTTTATTATCAGTTTCTGTCGTTCGCGAATCAGATTGTGAATTCCGGAATGATATTGAGAAAACATCTTAAACTAATACCGTTATGGATATTTATATGTATTAAAACGGTTCTTTTTAGAACCACGACATTTTCTTGAAATGTAAGATATAATTGATACCAGCCACATATCTAGTGTAATCATTGATTTTAAAGAATCAGATTCTGAATGGGATTATGGATTGTTTGAAATATAATATTCATTTTTGTTATTCATAAAAAAGAAGGTAAACTTACATTCCGTATCTTGTTTTTTAACTAAACTCCATTAACACGATTTCATCTGGATACCGGAACTGGTAGATTAACTCAAAAATCAACTGCTTCACTATTTAAACTATTTATATTGTTTTTTTAACTAAACTTTATAACCTTCTTTCATTTGCACACCAAATCTTGTAGAATAACTCAAAAATCAACTGCTTCACTATTTAAACTATTTCCACTATTTAATGACAAATCTTCACAAAATTAAACTATTGGCTGCCACAGAAACTTATCAGAAAATTACTTATCTAAATATGACTGATTTAAATCGATGTTATTTTATCACAGGAATGTTTACTTTGATGCCTTGCAATTGCAATTGTCATTGCAATATGCCTGTGTGTTTGTAATAAATAATAATAAATCCATAAACGAATCTAAGCTAATTAAGCACTTTCCTTGGAATGTATAAAATAGAACAGAATAGAACAGAATTATGACAAACTGCTATGCATTTAAAAAAAATAACCTTTTCACATTTAGCCGATTACGATCCTACAACTGTCAGATTTAACTAAAATGTCATGCAATAATTCTCGACATTCTTAAATCCTATATGACGTCAAAATTAGTGACGCACTGAAAAAAGGGTTTGGGACAGACTGTATAATTATTTTGTAGTAAAATGTTTTCTTACGCATTTTAGTGTGTGGCAGTAGTCTTAAAACTAAGTGTATTTACTGCTAATATAATAGTTTGACAAATAGTTGACATTTTAAAAATTTCCCACTTACTAACTGTTCTGATGTTTTGGCAACGCTGTGGGGTTCTGAAGTCATAAATCTTGAATGACATGCCAGCATTTTTTATATGAAAAATGCTATACCATTTTATTTTGCAATATTATTAAATGGTTAGTTTGGTTTGAAATATATAGATATGATTAAAGAGTTTGAACTTGATAGACTAGGGAAAATTCACTATAACGAGATAAATAAAATAATTGCCGTGTATCAAGGACTCTTTAAAGAAATAATAAAACACAGATATATTGCGAAAAATTGAAAATTAAAGCAACACCACCTGTTAACTCTATGAATAAATACTTTGTATTGCTTTTACCTTTTTTAACAGCTATTCCAAAACCTTTCTGGTCTAGTTCACTACCATATTTGGATAAATTGCAGTGTCTCCTTACAGTATATTCAATTGTAGCCGATTCCATAAAAAAGGCATAATCACCTTCAAGTACTCTAGCTATTCCATCTGCAGTTGATGGTACCATATCTTCTGGGTGATCGTCCATATATTTACCTACTTGTTGATAGTAGACATTTTTAGAACTCTAAAAAATAAAAGTCAAAAAATATATTTCAACAAATTTGAATTACATGAATTATAGATTCTGTAAAATATTTAAAAGTTTTATTAACCTTAATAAAATTACACAAAATCCAGCGATTATTTCACTAACCTTTGTTTATTTCAAGTTTTTTCAGACCGCTCGATTTGGAACTTTCATAAACTTAATTTTTTTTTGTTAAGAAAACATTACTATTTGAATCATTTCAGGAGTTTGGTGTACCAGAAAAACCTTAAAGATAAAGTATATATTCAAACAACGGGATGCCCTGGCCTATTTACCATTGCTTTGGAAAAGACATATATGATATGTCATATCTACATGAATTAGACACGGCAGTACTATTTAAAATAGTTGGATACAAATCTTAGCATACGCTGATAACATTGACATAATAGGGCGTAGCAAGCAAGGCGATGAGCATTACTTCGTAAAATTGGAAACGACGACGAAATAAATCGATCTAGTCATCCACGAAGAAAAAACCAAATACATATTTATAGGAAATATTTCTTATTATTTAGCATAGTTTTAATCGTTAGTTACGCCACTGCAAGGTACTACTTAAACCATATGCTTAAGGCGCCAGTGACCAGATGCCATTGAGGGGCGAAGGGTACAGCAAAATGTGGACGAAAACACACATTCCTGAGCTAAGAGAGCTTCGATTTTTGGCGCTCGAGCTGGGATGGTGAATTATTGTGCACGCCGAAAAAGACGACGCCGCGTTTGATAGATAATGAGCGTGGCAGATTGATTTTAAAAGACGAAAGATGAAAACAATTAACGACGAGGGTGTTCGATATTTTAATTCGCAGACAATTATCCGTAATTTTGTGTACCTGTAAATAAGCTTATTACTGTTTATTTTATGTAATAAAGACTTCTCGTATGGATCGCGGATGATCCATACGAGAAGGTTCTGTTACCTCTGTAACAGAATAACAAATTATTCTTATTCTTCTTCTTTTTATGTAGATAACTCCTGTCTGTTTTTCATCCTTTTCGTGGTCTCCCTATTGATCGTCTTTCTATTGGGGAAACGTCTCTTGCCGTCTTTACTACTCTATTTGTTGTCATTCCGCTTATACAATCATTTCATTCAACTCTTCTATATCTTACCCAGTTCTTGATATTCTCCACCTTGCATCTACGTCGCGCGTCATATATCTGTACTTCTAGCTCTGTTCCATAGTGTTTTGCCCCTAATTTTTGAAGTGTTTTTATCTCTGCTGTTTCTAACAGTTCTTTTGTCCTCGCTTTGTCAGGTCGTGTTTCTGCCGCGTATGTCATTATTGATTTGATGACTGTTTTGTAAAATCTGTCAAGCAAAAATCTTTCAAGCAAAAATGCTTTAATTAAATGATTTATACTTATTTTAGGCATTTTTAAACTGATGATGGAATTATTATTCCGAAAACTTTCGTGTTATTTGATGTAGCCCTTTTAAGGGTTTTTAAATATACCCATTTAAAAAGATTTAAACCTCTTTTTTCTTACTTTTTTTAATATTTCATCCATAACCAAGTTGAACAATAGAGGACTGCGTACAATAAGTGGATAACGTCCTTTAATTTGATCCGGTCAAATGCCTTTTTAAGTTCCAAGAAACATAGATATCTGTTTGATAGTTTGTTGTATTCTAATGATTCCTCTTGCACTTACCTGATTATAAATATAGCGTCGGTTCATGATCGTCCCGACCTAAAACCTTGTTGTTCTTCTGTCAGTGCTATAATTTCATTCAATAAATTTGTTATCACTTTGGTTGTTAATTTTAGTGCTATGTTTAACAAATTAATCCCTTTGTAATTTTTCAATTCAAATAAGATTTTCCAATTTTCTTTACATTTGCGTTTTAGGGAATACAAAACATTGGAAAGAATAACTAGGTTTAAAAAAATTATATTTTTTTCAAATCAAATAATCAAAACTCAATACAGTAATTGATAATAAAAAAAATATATATTTAAAACGTTACTTACTTTAAAAAATCCTTCTGTGGTCCCTCCTTTTAAAGCACCAAACCTAATATCGTTTTTTTCGGCATATTCCAGAAGTTCTTCGACATTACTAAACAATTGTTCTTGTTCGACAATTGCGTTTCTCGAAAGCGAAAATGATATGTAGTTAGCTACTAAAACGAAGCAAAACAACCACCAAGTTGCTGAGATAATCCTTGCTGACACCGAACTGGAATTAAAAAGAAATAATATACGAATATGTAAAAATATCAGAAACAGTATAGCATGTTTTAACGTACAACCAGTGGATTTTAGGCCATGTCAAGATATATTGACGCGAAAATTAATAACTTTACAAACGGTAATGAACAATTCGTAACGCCGTCAATCCGGCGACATTTCGTAACATCGACAGTTCGTAACGGTAGAGTTCGTAACGTCAAAATTGAATTACTTTGTTTATTTTTGTAAATGTGGAAACCATCGAGTTAGAATCTATGGAGAAGCTATGATCATATTAACGTATGTAATAAAAACGGCGTAGGTGGGATCGACAATACCAATGGGCTAACGACAATACCAATATGGCGGTGGGATCAGGGCCGACTCAATAATATTAAAACTACTATACAAATATGACTAGTTATTCAGAAGTTTTAATCATAATCTAAAAAAGTGCAATAAATTTTAAGAAACTATGATTTATTTATCCCGTGGTAAACACTAAAAACACGATATAATATACAAAAAGATAAATTATTACAGTAAAATACTATTAATTTATTCTCGGAAGTACGGGCCATTACTTTGTTTACATATTTGTATACTAACCTGAGGAACGATATTCCTGAAAATTTTTTATCAACATTGCTTCTGCTACTGTAACTACGTTGAGAACAAGAATCCATTATTATGCACTATCATAATACATTATTACAGTTTATATAAAAGTATTATAAAACTAAAAATATTCAAAAAACAACAAATGTAAACAAACATATAGGATCTGTCAAAAGTGTCAAAATAATATTAAGAATATTCTCTCCATAGATTCTAACTCAATAGTGGAAACCAATTTTTAATTTATTGTCATTTTAATTACCTTTATCAATTTAAGGAACTAACACCAGGATACACATTTTTAACGCATTTCATATTCATATTTCGTAAGGAAATATATTTGGGCCACGCCTTTACCATTTTTTTATTTATATTTATTTCAAAACTTTTCAAAATAATTATAATACTTTTCAAAATTGTATATCTGATAATACTTTATAGATGTTAGTAATATATATGGTATTAATTGGTCTAATAAAAATATATGCATTATTATTGAAGTCGTTTTTATTTGTTTCATTATTATTCAAACTTTTACTACTGTAAATGATAAAAAAATTTAAGGGTAACAAATTTAAAAAAATATTCCTAAGTTGTCATGTTATTAAAAATATTGTAATGATATTTTCAGCAGCAAAATTCAGCTTGTTTCTAAGATTTTTAGAGGTTCCAGAGGCGGACTAAGGCCTAGGCAACCTAGGCACGTGCCTAGGGCCCGTAATTTTTGGATCCCGAAAATTAGGTTTTTACTTCTTATAATTAATCATGCCGAATCGTTGTTTGATACAGTCTATAAGTGTGGACAATCGTTCCCATGCTTATGCATCCACATCCGTACGTGTCGATGTCGATGTGTATAAATACGATAGAGTGTCACGCCTACTGAGTTTAAAAAGTTAAACGTAGCTATTTAATTCAGTCTTCTGAACGTTACGTGTTGTATCTTATGTAAGTTTTGATTAAAAATTGTGCAATTAAAACTTAAGTCCTAGACTTGATTGCATATAGAATATTTTGGATTCATATTAATACTTTGTGAAATTCCTAAAATAGAAATCCAATCAACAGCCATTTCGACTACGTCAGAATCTTTAACGCCAAAAACACCTTCACTATTTAAAAATGAAAAGAATACAAAAAATTCAAAAAGAGGTGGTTCTTATCTTCAAGCTATCAAGAAATATATCGCTGCAAATTACAAAGTAGACGCAAAAAAGTTGCACCGTTCATCAAAAAATATTGGATTGTTGGTGTAAACAAAGGGAAAAGGAACGTCAGGATCTTTAAGTTACCGTCTATCTCATCCTGTTCTGGATCTACTAAGCCTAGTTCAGGAGAAAAATAAAAATTGGAGGAACAACTAAACCTGTAAAAGAAAAGACAAAGTCTGTAAAGAAAACGAAAAAACCAACGGCACCTAAGCCAAAACCGCCAAGGCTACCACAAGTTCACCAAAAAGCTAAAGAAGCTGGTGCTCCGAAGAAAACGTAATTCGACTAATTAATGTCTTAAATCATTAACACAAATTGAAGTTTTTATAGAAGTATTACATTATTTAATTAAAATAATATATACCATAAAGTATCATAAATTAAATTGTGATATTGAGTCAAATAAATTTAATTGAAGAATATTTTCTTTTTTCTGTTTAGTACGTAGTCTTTAAAATAAGTTCCTATAACAATTTAAGTGGGTGGTAAAAATAAAACGAAATGTAGATAAAAATAAAGTTTCAAAAAAAATGAAAAGAAGGTAAGACAATTTTTAATTGGAGATGAAAAACAATTCGAACAATCAACATAGTTCAAAAAGCTTGTTGAACTATGTTTTCCAAATCACGAATTAATAATTCCTGTACCGGCATGTAAGTAGTATTTTGTTTATTTGCTAATTTATTTCAATTCAGCAGATTATCTGATATCAATTCGTGGGATTTTATTTTGTCTGCTTTGTCAATTTTTATTCATATTAATAATCACAGACATATAATATTGGCATATTTGCTGTAATTGTTATCTTTATAAGGCAGCACTCTAATGTAGATTTTTGTAATTTCAGCGTTTAATTTACCTGTACCGTTAGCCCTAAATATGCATAGCAAATTGTAGTATGCGAAACCGGTCGTTTTGGTGGTAAAATTAAATTGATTGTGAGTAAGCCTTGTTTTATTTGTTTTGAACTATTTGAAATGGACTTACACAGATAACAAATTCATGATTATTATTATTGCATTGCATCCTAATTCGACACATATTAAGCAGCCGATAGATGTAGCAGTGTTTAGATCCCTAAAAAATTGCTAGAAAAATGAAGTAAACAATTGGAGAATACAAAACAAGGGTTCAAAATGAAGAAGGAGAATTTTGGACCAGTTCTAGCAGAAGCCATAAAGAGTTTCATTACTCCGAAAATTATATTAAATGGTTTTCGTGCTGCAGATTGGTGCCCACTCAACGCCGATGCAATCACCAAAAATATTTCAAGTCAAAAAATACAGAAATTTACAATAATCTATTCCCGGTAGAAGAAACTCCACAAGAAAAAGCAAATATTAGACCTATATTGACCCTGACTTGTTACAAGAATTTAATGTAGCAGCCTTTGATACGTGAAATGGAAATATACAACATTTAAGTCTTTTTGACTTAAATGACTCTGAAATCTCAATAACATAATAAGACCGTTCAGATAACAAAGAGAGCATGGATAAATGCAATACAGATAAAGATTCACAACTACATTTTGATACGGATAATAATTCACCAGGTGCCGAGGTTGCAGTTGTTGAACTCGATCTTAATGTTAACGATAGAACTACTTTAGAAAATTTACAACACAGTCTCCTTGAAAAATCACCTGAAACATATACATCAATTGATGAAAAAATATCTAGTCCATTTAAGAAAGCATTTTTTTTGTCAGACAAACCATGTCATAAGGAAATGAAAAAAAGCTTTGGTGAAAAGTTGCCTTCTGTTGCAACTTCCACTTAGTGGAAACAATACCATTAAAAAAATGAATTTTTTTTGTTAGAAACTTTTTGGTAGAATTGAAATAATTCCCTTTTATAATTTTTCTAGTTTCTCTAGTATATTTACATACTATTTAAAAGTTGTCCATATATTTATTTTATTCACTGGGTTTTATGTATCTAGCTCAGTGATACCCAACCTGCGGCCCGAGGGCCGCATGCGGCCCGAAGGCTAACTAAGAATTTTTGACTTTATCTACATATATATTTATAAAATCTTACATTTTAAAAAATACGATTATATTAGATATTTTTGTAATTCATTATGACAATGTTTTGAGAGTAGCTTGTAGTAATTACGTACCATATTTATCTAAAATTGTTGATAGTTTGCGTCAGTGTCAACCATCACATTAATTTTTATCCTAAATAAATGCTTTAATTTAACGAGTTGGTTTTTTTGTAGAATCCACAAACACACACACACATCATATATTATTATAACATAAATGTTTCGAACTTTACGCGATCCCTCTTCAGATTACAGCCGTAACTATGATTTTTTTTTAAATGGGAAAGTACAGACATCATGTGATACCTCATTTAAACGCTTTTGAAACAAATTTTTTTCCGAATCATGAGAAAACTAATGAGTATTTTTGAAAAATTCAAACGCCGAATGAAAGATCACATTATTGTATGTATTCGAAATGAAAAATCATACTAAATTTTCTCTTTGTTTTCACCCCTGCAGGGCTGTGGGGTACATCTTTTAATATGATGCAAGTATTTGAAATGCCGCCTCTTATATATGATTGAAATTTAACTTTCATTTTTATGCATTTTTTATCAAATCCTGAGAAAACTAATTAATATTTTTGAAAACTTTAAATGCAGAATTAAATATTTCATTATTACCCAGAGCCTAAATTTCCTTAGAATAAATAAAAAGTTTCTTTTGAATGAAATATTTGAAATTAAAAATCACAATAAATTTTTTGTCAATTCACCCTGTAACTTATTAAAATAGACATAGAAATTTTCAGGGACTTTCTGCCCTCGGTAATAATGTAATCTTTCACTCTGCGTTTAAATTTTTCAAACTTACTTTTTAGTTTTCTCAGAATTAGAAAAAACCAATGCATTTTTATCCTGGCTCGCTTTTTTATCCTCTCTTGAATTTCATTTTCAGCTGGAAATACAATACATATATAAACTTTTCTGCAATTGCATTAAATTTTCATTTGGTCATTAGCCATATTATCTGTAACTTTTCGTTTTTCTATAGTTTGTGACAACAATTTTACACAGCCTGACATTTTTTTTTATTTTACTGATTATGCCGCCCCCCTTGTGATGCCGCCTGATGCGACTGCCTCGCCGTATCATATCACGGCACGGCCCTGCACCCCTATAACTTATTAAAATAAACTTACGGCCCTGCACCGCTGTAACTTATTAAAATAAACTTACGTCCCTGCACCCTTGTAACTTATTATATTCTGCGTTTAAATTTTTCCAAAATTCTTATTAGTTTTCCAATAATTAAAAAAATTAATGCATTTAAAAAGCATGTTACCGAAATTTTGCGAAAGTATTATACATTTTTAAAATTAGTATTTTGAAAATAATGTATATTATATATATATATATATATATATATATATATATATATATATATATATATATATATATATATATAAATTTTCGTTTCGGTGGGTTGGAGTCAATAAAAGGGGCTGTTCTAGAAGACTATTTTTTATATCTCAAGCTTTCAAATGTTCTCAATTCTCAAAATAATTAACATATTATATATATATATATATATATATATATATATATATATATATATATATATATGTATGTATGTATTTATACTAATTCACCTGGATTGCGGCCCGCAAGCTGTTGAGTATTGCTGATCTAGCTTAACGGAATTTTTGAACAAATTAGAAAAAAGAAATGTTCTGAAAGAAATTGGTTTTAAATACTGTTTCAAATATTGTACATGTTAAAACTTGCTATATACTTACTTAACTTTGACATTTGTAGCTTGTCTAAATACACCCGAAGACACAAACCACAAAGAGTTTAGGAAGGTCAGATCGTTCTCTAAATATTTTTTACTTTCCCGGCAGGTTTCAGCCCTTTGCCATTCATTTGGTGACAATCTTCCGATTAAAAATAGAGAACATACTATTATGATATATGATATTGCCAAGATTTGCCAAAATTTAATAGCAAACGGTTGAGCAAAGTAGAAGAAACTAGGTGGAACTGCATTCGCCTCTCGAAATAATATACTTATACCTAAAAAATAATACATAACGTGTAAGAATTGTAATATTTATATTTTTTAATATATATTATTATATTGTTGACAATATATTATGTATGTTTGTATTATTTTACTGTGATATCACATCACTGTCTAATATTACGAACTATAAGTTTTTTTGACCAATCGATTTCCGATGGAAGAGAAGGACAAATATAAAATAACAAATATTGTCGAAGGCTTCTACACATTCTTGTACAGCTCGCAAAGCTTAATCAAACAACAAAGGAGAACATATTGTTCTGAAGCTATTTTCTTGTGGCATTGTAAATTAATTACTATTTATAACTGGGAATAAGCCACAATTAAAGATAAAAATACGTTTATTGACGTTTCAATTTCCAATTCGGAAATCGTTCTCAAAATACAAACAGTAAATTAAACAAATTTTGTTTTTTTGTTACATAGTGAAAAAATTCTTCTAATAATTTAATTTTATCTGACTCATTTATATTGACAATTCAGACATACATTATGCATTTTAAAGTAGACGACTTTAAAATGATATTGTCAATATTGTTGAGTTGCGCTCCTGGGACGGATAAGATAAATAAGACTTTAAGTATAGTCAAGACAAAATTAGAGAATGATGATTCATTGGCAACTAGAACAAGACTAAACATATCGGCTATAATGGAGTTATTAACATTATGTACTGATAATACATATTTTCAACTAAATAATGAATTCTATAAACAAAATTTTGGTCTAGCAATGGGCTCTAGTTTATCTCCATTCTTAGCCGATATATTTATGGAAAATTTTGAAACAAATATCATTTCTAAACAAAATTTCAAACCCATAGTATGGTGGAGGTATGTAGATGATGTATTCTCAATATGGCCTCATGGATCAGAGTTGTTGGACACATTCCTAAACGATATAAACGATAAAGAAGAGACAATAACATTTACCATGGAAAAGGAATATAATAACACGCTACCTTTCCTGGATGTTTTAATCTCTAAGAACGATACTGGATATGAGACTCAGGTGTATAGAAAACCAACACACACCAATAGATATTTAAATTTCAAATCAAATCACAATATTAATGTAAAAAAGGGAATAATTAAATCCTTATACGATAGAGCCAAAATTACTTGTTCTAACGAAAATTCGTTCTTGGAGGAGAAACATTTGTTAACATCTGTTTTATTAAAAAATGATTATCCTTTATCGTTTATAAATAAGGAATTTTCAACAATCGATCGAATAGAACAGAACAACTTAGAACGAGATCCTACAGCATACACAAGGAATAATATGAGAAAAATAACAATACCGTACATAAAAGGATTATCAGAAAAACTTAAAAGGATAGGAAATAAATTCAACATTTCAACAACATTCAAAACAACAAACACGTTGAGATCTATTTTGTCCAAAACCAAACCTAACAATGAACAAGAAAGGACAAAGAATTGCATTTATAAAATACCTTGTGAATGCGATCAGTTTTATTTAGGTGAATCATCAAGGCCATTAAATGTTAGAATAAGTGAACATCAATCTTATATTAAAAATAGAGAATTTGATAGATCTCAAATATGTAAACACGCATGGGATAATGAACATAGGGTTCAATGGAATAATTCAAATATAGTCCTAAAAGAAACGGATGGCAAAAAAAGAAAAATCAAAGAAGCGGCTCTAATTATGCTAAATGAGGCCAATTGTGTCGCAAATTCCTCGGCAGAATGTAGTAGGATCTGGTTACCAATATTGAAAGAGGAAGTTATTAATAAGAAAATACCAGTATTAGTAAGTCAGTAACATATAGCGGATACATCATTTATGTTTTTTAAATAACGTAACATATAAAATCAGAATTTTGATGTTTGTTGAAGGTAAACTAAATTCACGAACAAATACTTACAATGTCGGGATAGTATTATAAGGTTTTTTTCCTGGTTTTTCCCTCATAATTTACTATGGAATCACTGACAGGAGAATTTTACTGTCATCATGTCATGTGTTTGTCTTTTTAAAGACGAATTACATGGTATAATTTTTTCTGACGGATATTCTCAAGTTAAAGTTGATTTCATGTAATCGAATGAACTATCTTATAAGTAAAGCCGTACCAGGAGCGCAACTCAATAATATTGACAATATCATTTTAAAGTCGTCTACTTTGAAATGCATAATGTATGTCTGAATTGTCAATATAAATGAGTCAGATAAAATTAAATTATTAGAAGAATTTTTTCACTATGTAACAAAAAAACAAAATTTGTTTAATTTACTGTTTGTATTTTGAGAACGATTTCCGAATTGGAAATTGAAACGTCAATAAACGTATTTTTATCGTTAATTGTGGCTTATTCCCAGTTATAAATAGTAATTAACAAAGGAGAACGTCAAAAGAAAAATTAAAATCGTGGGATCAAAAGTACTACCAAATATAAAGGGATTCGAAATAGAAAGAGCTTTAAAGAGCTAAAAAATAATAAAGCTCCAGGACATGACGGTATAATTGCCGAGCTCTTGAAAACAAGCAAAACATTAACAATCCCTGTACTAACAGAGCTACTTAATAGATATATCTATAATAGAAAGATCCCCAAAGATTGGAACGAAAGTCTAGTAATACTCTTATACCAAAAAGGGGATAAATGTGATCTACAGAATTATAAACCTATATCGTTGCTCAGTAAAGTATACAAACTATTTATGAGAATTATTAACAACCGGTTGACCTATAAAATGGACAATTACCAATCGGTTGAACAGGCTGGCTCCGCAAAGGATATAGTACATCAGACCATCTGCTGATAATGAGAACATTGATAGAGAAGACAAATGAATACCAACTACCCGTATTTGTTGCCTTCGTTATCTATAAAAAGGCGTTTGATAGTATCGAGATGTGGGCCATAGAACAAGCTATTAATAATTGTAGAATAGATTTGAGATAAAGGCAACTAATATATAATATATATATATATATATATATATATATATATATATATATATATTATATATATATATGAAAATGAAGCTATGATAGTACAACAAGACTAGAAGTGAGACAAGGAGACGCCTCCTCTATCACCAAAGCTTTTCAATCTAGCCCTAGAAGACGTCTTTAAAACTACAAATTAGTCAACCTATGGCATTAACGTTAATGGCAACAAGTTACATCACCTCATATTCGCTGAAGACATAGTGATTATAGCGAGCACATTCGAGGAACTGCAAATTATGATGGGAACTAGCAGGCAGCTTCCAATACGTCGGCCTAAAGATGAATATGAAAAAAAAAAAAGAATGACAAACACAGATAACTCCAGACGTATAACTATAAATGGCAGTGAGATAGAACAAGTTCAGGAATATATCTACCTAGGACAAATCCTGAAACTTGACAAAGAGGACCAAAGTGCGGACATTACTAGAAGAGCAAGACTAGCATGGGCAGGCTTTGGAAAACTTTTTTAGATACTTAAGAACCGCAAAATATCACAATACTTGAGGAACAAAGTGTTCAACCAATGCATCCTTCCTATCATGACATATTGATGTCAAATATGGATCCTAACCAAGGCGAACATGAATAAACTAGCCACAACATACACAACAGTGAAAAGAGCAATGTTAGGTATACGACTGTCAGATAAAAAGAGGAACGACTAGGTAAGATCAAAAACAAAAGTCGTGGGACATAACAACAAAAATTGACAAACTTAAATGGAGCTTCGCGGGCACTGCTAGACAAAAATACCAACGTTGGAATACTACAATATAACATTGAAGACGAAAAGTAAACGACCAAGTGTAAGACCACAGATAAGATGGATTGATGACATTAAAAGAATAGTTGGAACAAATTGGAGATACGTTGCTCAGCATAGAGACCGATGGAAGGAGTTGGGAGAAGCCTATGTCCAAACATGGACGATAGAAGGCTAAAAAGAAGTAAATAGACAAGTATATAAATTTCACGTGTCCTTTTTGGTCATATTGTATAATATTTTATTTTTTTAAATACCTACCACATACTTTTCTTTATAAATTAATTTTGTTTTCTGAGTTTTAATTCGTATATGTTCTATTAAGTTGCCTTTACAACAGCTTTAACAATATATAATTTATTGATGTAACATTATGTTTTTATCTAGTTTTGTAGATTCAACAAATGTACCAGATAATGTCCTTAGTAGATCTGCGACTTTAAACTATTAATTATGAGTAGTACAGTGAGAATTAAGGACTTACAAACTGGGTGATAGCTCATTTGTTGTACAGAGTATCTACATATTTTTCTTCTCCATATCGAGCCCTTTTTTACAGGCTGGATACAATCATATTAACTGTTAACTGGATTACTAGGATTAGGTTTACAAAATCTCTCAAATAATCTTAATCCATTAGCGCTGTGCATTGCCACATGGTAACGAAAAAACCTACTAAAACTAACGCTGGAAGAAGGAATATACCTTATAGTCCTGTGGGAGAGGTTTATTTAAGTAGTAGAACATATTGAACATGCTATTGTAGTTAGGAAAAGACTTTTGTTTTTGGCATTTTAGCGAGTCACTAGAGGACAACAGGAATAAATCGTATCAGGCTATTCTAAATTTTGAATCGGTTAGGGAACCATGTTGGAGTTCTATCATCCAGGACTCTCATATGAAGAACATTTGATTGATCGTGTGAACCTGTCGCGCATCAGGGTGCTATAAGAGAAAAAGGCAGATCTCTGAAGCACTCATAGAGTGATTCCTGTTTTACACACGAACTAATACACCTCGCGCCAATGAATTGTTATAACCGAACGTTACTCTAAGGTGAACAAGTCTCACAGGCTGGATTTAATTAAATTGCTTGCTTGCGTTTTATCAGTTACTGTGTCTCAACTTTTACGAAATTTAGACATTCGTCGACAAACACGTGAACATTCATTTTGTGTACGTCTTTGTTACTTTTAATACGAATACTTTCATAACTTTAAACTTAAATATATTTAAGCTTAAATTTGATAACCTTTTATCACATTTTTTGTTAGATAAAAATGGATACCCTTCAAAGGCTCGGCCACACAGAAAACCATCAATCTGTCGCGGCGAGCATTGATCCAGCGATTATTGCGGCGGTCTGCGATAATGGGACATTACATAGGATGCGATGTCTTTATAAGCGATACAGTATACTGATTTCTTCTTATAGAATAAGTCGTGCTAGTTTTTATACTCTTTTATTATTTTGTATAAAATTAAAGCCATACTTTTTTTAATTTTGATTACTGCAGCTACTTTAATCTTTGCTAAAATTTTACCAAACTGATCGTGCGATAAATCTATAATTTTGGACAGCTGTATCGCACGACACAGACTGGCTCGCTGCGACAGATCGTTTTTTGTTTGACTGGGATGAAGCTATACACCGCAACAGATCGCGTTCTGTGTGCCCGACCCTTAATGTTGCTACCTATATTTTATTATAGAAATTTTACACTCGATACGGCACTGGAAATCACTTATATATCTGATTTATAAATATGCCGAAATATATTTTGAGTCGCGATAGAGAAATATGGATACTGATGAGGTTTCTGTAAACGAAGATGATGCAGGGTAAGCTACATATTTTACAACTTAGTAACTAATTGATGGATTATCTCGATAGATTCGACCGCTACTTGATAGAAATTCATTTTATCTAACAATGAAATACTGAAAACTTTTTTTAAACGCTTCCACAAAATTTACTTTTAAATTATTATCACTACAGCTGTTTCGGTCAGAGTACCTTTTAGAAGTGAAGGCTATTTTAGCCAAAGTGACTTGAGAAAGGCACACTGGCTGAAAGAGCTGTAGTGATAATGATTTAAAAATAAATTTTGTGGATGTGTTGAAAACAATAGTTGTAAGAGTTTTATTGTAAGAGCATTAGATTTGTTCGAAAGAATTTGTTTTGCTAAACAAATAGAGGAAAATAAAAAGGGATGTGCCTTTACTATTTACAAATCTGCAAAAATAAGCTTTCACCATTTTTGAAAGCGGGGATACGGAAATTAGCCTGAAGGACAATGAAGATCATTTAAGACTAGGAATTAGACAAAACATTTCTGTTAATTGTAACGATTTTCATCGCTTCGATCTTCGACCGTATAAAAAAGCAGCCGCAGAGAAACCAGAGTTCTGTCGGAGTATGTTTAGAGTATTGATCTAGTGGCAGTTCCGTACCCAGTCTTGGAGTATTGATCTGAGACATACCTATTCTCTCCTGTGTCTAAGTACTGATTGGACACCATCTGTTCTTCGGACCGAGTGTTGATTGGCCCGCTTCATCTCTACTCCTTTGATCTGTTTCCCTACCGTCTGTGTCCTGTGTGTAAGTGTATTAACACAGCATAACTGCCGCTTAGATTTTATATCATTAATTGTATTTTAGTTTTCGCAGTTTAATTTTGCGTTTACGTTTTATTGTATTATTACCTAGAATTTAATTTTATTTTGTTATTTATTTATTTTGAATATACAGGGTGTCCCGGAAAATAATGCGTTCCTTAACGATATGTGCTGATTGCAGCATTTAAAATGAAAAAGTCTTATATTATTTTTTTATTATTTTATTAATTTCAAATAAAGTCAACCGTTTAAAAAAAAACTTATTAATTTTTATTAATTTGCGTTCCTTGCCATTCTTCGTTGCCATTGCCATTACTGTAAATCAGCTATCATGAATCATCGATCGTTAGGCATAATATGTATTGATACTGATATCAGTGATAGAGAAAAAGCATATTTGTTTTAATTAAATATTTATTAATTAAGATTTGAATATTGTCTTTACTTACATGGAAAATTATTAATACAATAAATGTTCGAAGTGGTCACTATTTGCACAGAAACACGCATTTATTCGATGAATCCAATTATTCTTAATATTATAAGTATGTAAATTATGTCGGATTATTTCAGCAGCATTAAAAATTCATTGTCCCAATTGAGCTTCTGTTTTAATTTCATTCTGGTTGTCGTATACTAATGATTTTAGTTGTCACTATTTATATACAAACTTACTTATATACAAACACAAAAAACTAAATTTAAAAAAAATAAATATTTCAGGGCGAATGGGTTAATTTTAATTATTGACATAAATAAAAGAACGTAATTAAAAATGTATCTTTGACACAAATATCATTTCTTAACGATCTATTGTACTTACCTACAGACATAAAGGGTTGAGTAAATTCTACAGGTTCTACTCTTTCTTTGTTAATCGTCAAATCGGAAACCGCTAAATCTGCTCGCTACAAATTATATATGTATATATTAAACAATGTGTTAAAATAAAACTAAATAAAAACAAAAAAATTGATAAGAGCAAGCACAAGATGGCTCAGAAGAACAGTTGAGTGCAGCTTGCTTTAAATACGGATGAAACACATTAAATGAACGAAACAACTTTCGTGACTACAAAATAAAAGGAGGTAGTTGGCATATGAGTTAAAGCATTTACAGTTAGAGCTAGGTAATAAAACCTGTCGGTGGTCAGGAATACAAATGGAGAAGAGATTTCTGACCTTGGACAACTCAGAAAGACACTTAAGAATGCCGTTGAGTTGGTTATCGCAAAGAGAAAAAACAAAGAAAGATCCCCCTAAGCTCGTAGGAATTATACAAGAAGCCTGGGTGCGTACGAGCTTAGATAAATATACAAAGTATCAAACAAGACACTAAATAACAATAAATAAAGAAAGAAAAAAGGAAATAGTATAGAACATAATAAATGCTCTAGAGAACGACATATGGGGCGATGTATATGAGCTAACTATGAAACCACTTAAGTTGATCGCCCCGTATAAAATTAATGAAGAGCAGTGGCACGAATCAGTAGAACTACTCTTTCCTACCAATGAAGAACAAATCGTTTTAAAGGTCTTCTATATGGTAATGGAGGAATTATCGGTAGAAAGACCGATGGCTAGAAAATTAAAACGGGTAAAGCTCCCGACTGCGATGGCCTGTCACCCAAACAACTTAAGATAACAACAACGGAGAAACCAGGTTTGATCGGAAAACTGATCTACTGTGAAACCTAGAGTTTCTCAGAGGACTAAAGGAATCAAATCTGATTTTATTTCACAAGTCTAGAAAGCTCCCAACTCAGCATCCTCTTACAGGCCAACATGTCCCCTAGACTGTCTTGGCAAATTTTACAAAAATACTGTCAATTAGAAGCTTGAAGACATACGTCTTCAAGGAAGTAACAAGTGAGAGAGCTCTATTTAACCAACTATTTTGATTTATTAAATTGTCCATAAGCAATGCAAAATGTCAATACCGCAATCTAGATCAGAGACGCGGTAAAAACAAGTAGAAAAATGTAAGTAGTCCTGGTTCTGTTTGACATTCAAAATGCCTTCAATTGGACAAACTGGAGCCTCATTATCGATAGGATTGCCTAACATGGAGCCCTGGAATACGTATCTAACACAATAAAAGGCTATCTAGCGGAAAGAAGCGTATATTAAATTACAAAAAAAATGTTGAATATGACTACTGGAGTAACAAAAGGGTCGGTCTTGGGACCCATCTTATGGAATATCTTATACAATGGGATACTAGAAGTAAATAGAACAGAATGAGTAAGGACAATAGCATATACATATACTAACCGAAGACTTGTAAGTAAAGTAAATAAAGCAAAGGAAAAAACCGCGAAATGGATAGAGGAAAACGATTTAAAATTAGCAGTCGAGTAGACTAAAATAATTATCTTAAGGAGACAGCGTGACCGTAAAGACGTAAACTTTTGGTTCAGTTGCTCCAATAAAAGAAATATCTAAGAATAATATTCGATAAAAAGATGACATTCGGCCAGCATGTATAAGAAGCATGTCGGAAGACAGAAGACAGGACCTTCACAATATTATATGGGGCCCCATTGTGGCACAAGGTCGTAAACTAGCCAAAATATAGAGAAGTGCTTCTTAAAGCATAGAGAAAATCGTTAATCAGAGTATGCAATGCGTACAGAACCGCATCATCAATTGCTCTATAGGTAGTGACTGAGGTTATACCGGTGCAGACAAAAGAAGTCTAAAGATGTGGCAGGACTAGTGGTCAATGAACATAGGTAAGGCCACCTGTACCAGTGCCTTTATATGTAGTGAGTTGGTACGAATATAGACATGATGTGCAGGATGAGTTTCTCACCCAGCTAGGACTAGGGTCTCCTCTAGGTGAAACTCATGGTTTAATACTAAAGGCAATAGAAAAAAAAATGTTTGACCTGATCACTAGTTCTATCACTGAAACCATGAAACATTAAGAAGAAAAAAAGAGGAGAAACAGAGATAATCTGCTTATACTTTTAATTGGTTGTGTTGTCCTGCGCCAGCGGGGAGTGGGAGCCGATATAATTCCCATCTAGATTGGGGTAAAAGTTAACTTGCACATTTGTAACCTTTTAGCTTTTAGCATCATTTTAATATCCTTTTTTTTAACTTTTAAAGGATTTTATTTATTTACCCACCATTACGAAGATTTACCTATATTGTATTAATCTTTTATACATTTAGAATTATATGGGGAGAGCCTCTATAAAACCAACCAGCAGACTATGTCACAACAGCCATTTACACCATGTTTTGACTTTTTATGGTGTGTGAGAGATTTTTTATGATTTGTCTAGTATAAGTGGAGGAAAGAATGGACTCACTACACGAGGGTGAAGAATGAAAAAAGTTATTCTTACTGGTTTGTCTGGTAGCTCTCTGTAAATTTACGATGAGTGGACTGACGATGAGGTCCCTCGTAGACCTCGTTGTGATGGGAATAACGAGCAAAGCTTATGTGACAAACGCTATACTCGCTAAGAGAGGGGGTGAGTTTATTTGGTAAGCAGCTGGTTACAGTTAAGTATAATAAGCTAAATCCAACACACCTGAAACACCTTGCCTATACGTCTCGAAAAGATTCTCTCTTCCCAAAAAAAGAGAAATACTTAAAACTGGCATTCGTTAGATCAGGTATTTTGCTCGGTCCATCGACATATGCGTTGTACGATAACGGTAATAACATTGTCAAGCATTAAAAGAGATTAGGTGTGTAATGCAGTGACAAATTATTGCTTGATCTCAAAAAAACTTTTGCTTTAAATTCAGAAGTAATCAACAAGGTAATAGACATAGGTAACCAACTCTCAGAATCTTTTGAAATAGCAACAGGTTTATGACTCCTCAAAATCTAAAGATATAAAAAAGAAGTTAGTCCTGTGCTCATGTGTGCCTATGTATGTAAGAAGTGGACTATGACAAATGCAATGGAAATAAAAGTCAGATGTTTGGAGAGAAAAATCCTTAGGATTTTTGTTTGTACTCTGTTAGGACCTGAATAATGTGAGAATAAGACCCAACGTGAACAAACGCCGACGTAAAACAACTAGAGATATTGTCCAAGAAATTAAACACTAACGCCGAGGACGATCATGTCCATAGGCTCTCTACTAGCCGCTTTTTAAGAAGTTAATCTAGAAGGAGGTAATCTAGGAAGGACAGTAAGACGGCTCTTCGGATGCCTACGAATGCGATGGAAAGATAACATATGGTCAGATTTAGTAACAATTGGGCTACCGACTGACCCAAAAATCATGAAAGACCGTATGAGATGAAAGCGAGTTGAGCAGTCAGCTAAGACCTATTTTGGGTTGTAGTGGTACAAAAGGAACAAGAAAAGATGTCAAGGAGGTTTATCGTACAATTTTAAAACCTACTGCAAAGCATATCGAGGCGACTAAGATTACTGTTTAGGCAAAATTAATTTGAAAATAAGGAGTGAACTGGTCTTAGATAATATTATTGCTGAAGAATTTCAAGAGGTCGTCGTGTTAACGTTTAAAGATAATTGTCTCCAGAAATATTAAGAAATTGCATCAGTCGGGTAGGCTGATGAAAAAGTATCCTTGCAAATCAAACGACAGAAATTAGATAAAAGTTTAATTTCCAAAAGATTAAGCAAATAAAGCGAATATCGCAAAACTCTGACTGAATATAATAACGAAATAAGAAAGCAAAAACAAAATCACGAGAAAGGCATTGTAAAAAGATCGAAGTACTCAAAAGATAGGAATACGCAAATAAGTAGGCCTTCACTGCAAAGACAGAATTAAGCACGACGAGCTAATCAACCAACTTGGAACAAAACAGCAAAAGTGAAAGTTAAAAATGAACTGACCGAGGATATCCAGATTCGCCGTGGGGTCCTCCAAGGGTGTATTTTATCACCCTTGTTATTCAATTTATACAGTGAAGCCATCTCATAATTAGCGCTCGCCGAGATCAGTGAGGGCCTTATAATAAACGGTGAGCCACTTAATAACCTAAGATATGCTGACGACACCGTCTTTTTGGCAGGAAGACTAGAAGAATTGCAACACCTTGCTGAACAACTAAATATATATTGCAACGATTATGGACTAAAAATAAATTTGAAGAAAACCAAGTTCATGGTATTTACAAAAGCACAATATATCAAAGTTAAGCTAGTACTAGATAATACAGAAATTGAACAAATATCTTCGTACAAATACCACACAGCATGGATCACAGAAGATACTGATTAGACAAAAGAAATAAGATGCCGCATTGAAATTGCACGGTCAACTATTAATAGAATGAGAAAACTTTTTGTAATAGCGATATTAATATATCGCTCCGAATAAGAATGCTTCGATATTATAGTTTGTCTACCCTTTTGTATGGGGTAGAAGCTTGGAGACTTGAAAAATCCAACATTAAAAACCTAGAAGCATTCAAAATGTGGTGTTATCGACGAATTTTGAAAATATCATGGATGGATCGCAAAACAACCGAACTAGTTCTCGAACAACTAGGAAAATAATGCGAAGTTTTAAATTTTATAAAAATCAGAAAATTGGAATACTCGGGGCACACCATGAGAGGTAAAAAATACGAACTACTAAGGAATATAATGTAGGGTAAAATCAAAGGCAGAAAAAGCGTAGCAAGACGTAAAATATCGTGGTTACGCAATCTCTATGAATGGTTTGGATGCAGTTCAATTGAACTCTTCAGGCGCGTCGCCAACAAAATTATAATTGCAAGAATGATTTCCAATCTCCGATAGGAATGGAACTTGAAGAAGAAGAAGCTAATCAACATACTGAAATAAATCCTGTACTGTATACCAATTTAAGATACCCTGTACTGTATAATTATAAAAATTAAATTTCTTACCCCGTCTATAACGTCTGCAATCATTCCTGTCCATTTTCCAGATAAGCTGTCGAAATGACCATGCTGGTTATCATTTCTAACCATGAACGTGTATTCGAAACCTAATATTTTTGCGATTTCTTCAATAAGGTCTATTGCATATCCTTCGTATCTGTCATTGCCTGACAAACGATGAGTAGATTCTTTCAGTTGTGCATAAGGTTTAGTCTAAAATAGAAATAGAAGTTATTATTACAAAATGTATATACTGAGTATAGTATTTAAATTTGAATGCCTATACGTGAATTTACAGCCTATATGGAATGATTGTGAAAACAACTTCTCTGAATCTGTAGTTTTTGCTAGTATAATATTACGTATATTTTTAGCTCAGCGAAATTTCATAGCTGTGAAATCAAGGAAAGTGAATAAATTATGTTGAAATCATTATTAAAATTTAATAATTGTGAAAGAATGTTTGTTAGAAATTGAGCTATATTCGTGGTACAATGAATACAAGGTATGATATTGCGCATGACAGATGGCCAGGAGTGTGACGTAGTCAAGACCGCTCGAAATGGCTCGAACCCATTATCAAAACGACAGCTGCGCCTTGTCCGAAAACTATCATTTGTGTTTGATCCATTTCCGTTTTAGCTTCCTGATAAATTATAAAATCGAACATCTGCCAACTTGCACCGCAAATTGCAAATATTTTTATTCCCCATGGATTTGGTTTTTTTTTTTATATATTGCTTCACATTAAGTGATCCTTTGAACGGCACTATTTGTTCATCAATTGACAGATTTGTCTCCAATGGAAGTGACAGCAAACTGGCGCGTATTGTTTCGTACAAAGGACGAACTTTCCAAAACCTATCCTGATGCTCAACGTTATCTATTGTATCCACAAAATGTAAAGTTTACCTCAAGGAGTATTCTGATTAACTGTTACTCATTTCCAAGCAGTTTTACTGAAGCAAAAACAAACTAGATTACATAAAAGAAAAATCTGATTTATAATTCAATATGGTATTTTAGATGAGTTACAATGAAATTTAGCAAAATGAAAATATACACATTACTATAACCTACAGATTATTATATGGAAAATTTACTTACCAAACAATATAATATGAAAATAAGGCACAAATTAGTTCAAACGCAATAAATTTCGACTTCATACGACTGTACACTGACAAGACAGAAGGCTTGTGTAAAAACAAAAGTTCCACAAGAATATCGGTTATCAATGGTGATGATGCAAATTGCAAGATAGGTAGATAGATAGATAGGTTTATTGACAATTTTTACATAGTAAACACTACATGTCATGTCACAATAAAAATAAGTCACTTTTGTATACTAAGAACTAAGAAATAATACAAGAACACATAATAAAACATATACAGTGCAAAATTAGATATATAAAATTATAAAAAAAGAAACAATTCAGTAAGGCGTAATATATTTTTCATAAAAAACGACCACACTAGGCTCAAACAAACAAATTCCTGTATACTATAGAAACAGTGTTCCAGCAGGAAGTGTTTTGCTAGTTTATAAAATTGTTTAGAATTCATTGCCTATCAATATTTTTGTTTAGTTTAAAAAACAATTATACAGATTATAATCTATTGTATTAAGTTGTGTAACACACAATCTCGAATATGGTATAATAATATGACTTTTATTTCTTGTATTGTAATGATGTTGATCAGCATGTATTTAACATCTTGTATATTATTATGAACAGTTAACAAAGTTTCAAATATATATATTGAAGGTAAAGGAAGAATGCCATACTTTTTAAACAAGGGTTTTCAGCTGGCGCGATATTCTGCTGAGTCAATAATTCGGATTGCTGTTTTTTGAAAAGTGAAAACTTTATATATGCATAGGACGAGTTTCCCCAAAGAAGTATGCAATATGTCAGGATACTATGGACCATTCCAAAATAAACTGATCTAAGAATATCTCGACTCACAGAAGTAGTCAATTTGCACATAGCAAAAATTTGTGAGGCAAGCCTCTTACACAATCCTTCAATATGGTGCGACCAGTTTAACCTTGTATCCATAGAATCACCTAGTAATTTTATAGGTTCAGATGGTGTAAACCCATTTATCAGAGCTAAATACTATTATCTGGGTTTTCTGCTCGTTTAACTTAAGTTTGTTACAGTTAAACCAGGATTTAGATTTTTCTAATATTTTTTGACTGTAATCTGTTTTACCTCTATATAATAAGATTGTGTCATGTGCAAAAAGAACGCAGTTGATATTATTCAATGCACTTGGTAAATCATTTATATATATCAAGAATAGCAGAGGTCCCAAAACTGATCCTTGTGTGTACTCCGGTTGAAAATCTTAAAGGATCAGATTCTTGATTATTAAATGCAACAATCTGTGTTCTTCCTGTAAGATAGGGTTTTAAAAGGTCATGTACGGTACCCCTTATTCCATAGTACTCCAATTTTATCAATAGTGTTTGAATATCCATACAATCAAAGCTTTTGTAAGGTATGAGATAATAAATATATCTTAAAGTAAATTAATACTTATTAACATCAGCTAATAATGTTGATTGTGACGATAATGTAAAGACACTCTTCTTTAGGTCAAGAATGTATTTTATAATTAAGGAGTTGAATCTTCGTTTTAAAGAACAGTAATTCAAAAAATAAAAGAAAAATGTCAAAAATTGTAAAATACTACTTGCCTATAAAAATTTTCTTTTTTATTTGCCAACTTCTTTTCTTCTTCTTCTAATGGCAATACAACCGTTTGTAGGTTTTGGCCAGCTTAACAATACACTTTGCTTCACCATTGCCTGATGTTCATGGTTTGAAGATCTTACTCTAATATCGTCTATCCACATTTTATCGGGCCTACCTCCCTGGGTTTTATTCTTTCGATCACTTTTACAGCTCGATTATCTGGTATTCTTTTTAAGTGCCCAACCGAGTTTTAGTCTTTGTGACTTTACAAATCTAACTATATCTGCGCTCTGCAGTAATTTATCCAGCTCTGCGTTAATTCATTTTTATTCTTAATGAACCATCGCTATTTTTGAATGTTTGTTATGTGTTAAAAATAGGTGCTTTTAAAAACATTTGGATAACCTGAGTGATGTGCATAGTTATGCAACTAGAAAAAAACTCCATTATAATATCTTTTATCTTGTAGATTAAGGAAGACCCAGAATGCATATTAATATATCAGTTTAAAGCTTTTCAAAATGTTGTTGTAAAATTATTGTTATTTTTTTAGACAGCAACCCTAAATGGTACTTTCATATCGATGTAAGTAAGAAAACTAGCATCAGCCTGCTATGCAATTTGGCAGCAAGAACTGTTTCGAAGGAAATCAATTTGGCATCTTTCAAAATATCATATATTTTTTTGTTAAATCACGTTATCATTATTAAAATATATTATGTTACCATTATTATAAACAATACCATAATAATTTTATGTGTGAATATTACAAAAGATGTCATTTAAAATATGGTGTAATATTATGTGACCTCACTACACTCATATTCAATGGCCAGCTAGCTCATCCGATCTAAATAAAGTTCACTTTATTGTTATTTATTTTGATTTTGTCTTTAGTTCAGTAGGTATATACGTACAAATTTTGTGTACCTTCATTACCACTTTTTTGTATCTTTTCATACATCTGAAATATTGAACTCTGAAATAATTAAAACTTGTTTTATAACGGATATCTATGTTAACAAAATAACTGTACCAAAAATCAATAACCTTAAATTAACTTAAAAATTTTGTTTATGATTACATATTATAATAATATAATTTTATCATATCTTTATAATTGCTAGAAGTAAATTAGCCAAATTATATAAAAAAAAACTTAAAATTAAAAGTCTTTACTATACAACTACATTAAAATGTTGCGGGAATAAGCGGTCTTGACTACGTCATGCGCGAAAGCGAACCGATTTTGGAACATTATGTATCATACCTTCTATTCATTGTACCATGAGCTATATTTATGTTCGGAGCATTTATTGGCGATAATATGTATCGCTTTCTTCAAAACGACAGTGGACAGCTTATCACTGATGACAAGGAAATCTTAAAAACCTGGAAGGAATACTTCTATCAACTATTGAATGACCAATCTAGCAGAAGTACATCAAACATAGAGGTACATACAGCTGAAATAGAAGACCACATACCCGACATACGAAGAAGTAATACAGGCAAAATAAAAAACTTAAAAATAATAAGACACCAGGTAGCGATGGTATACCCGCAGAGTGCTTAAAACATGGAGGAGAAGCGTTGTACAGTTCGATATACAAGCTAATTCAAGACATTTGGCAAGAAAGAAAAAATGCCAGATGAATGGAAAGAAGGGGTTATTGTACCAATACACAAAAAAGAAAACAAAAAGCAATGTATTAACTACAGGGGAATAACACTCCTAAACACCACCTACAAAAATCCTTGCAAACATCCTGCTAGAAAGAACCAAAACATACACAGAAGAAATCGTTGGAGATTATCAATGCGGATTTAGACCGGGCCGCTCTACAATTGACCAGATATTTACAATAAAACAGATAATGGAAAAATGCTGGGAGTTTGATCGTGAGCTTCATCAGATGTTCATAGATTTTAAACAAGCATTTGATAGAGTATGTAGGGACAGACTGTGGACAGCGATGCAGGAACTTGGCTTTCCAAAAAAACTAGTCCGGTTGATACGGATGTGTATGGAACGGTTACGATGTAAGGTGAGAGTTGGACAACAATACTCGGAGACATTTGAAATAAACAATGGACTAAAACAGGGAGATGCACTTTCACCACAACTCTTCAACTTACTTAGAAGGACCAAACTTACTACTGGCATTTGCAGACGATATAGATCTAATAGGAAATACGCGATTAAAGATGAAGGAGACTTTCGTAAGGTTAGAGAAGGAAATATATGTATACGAGCCGCAATAACCAAAGCAGAGACAGAATCGGTCAGAACATTACCATCGATGACTTTAACTTTGAGCGCGTTAGAGAATTCAAGTATCTTGGAACAACAATAACTGAAGACAATAACGGATCACAAGAAATAAACAACAGGATTCAGGCCGGCAACAGATGTATTTTTGCCCTCCAAAACCTTATAAAATCAAAACAAACTAACACGAGGTACGAAGATACAGGTCTATAAAACAATCATACGACCCGTTGTGATGTATGGAAGCGAAACGTGGACGATGACAAAGGCAAATGAAGATGAGACTACGTGTTTGGGAAAGAAAAATCCTAAGGAAGATCTTTGGTCCGGTGCTTGATGAAGCATCAGGACAATATAGGATAAGAACTAATAAAGAGCTTGAAGAACTTTACCCAGACGCCAACATCATAAAAGAAATAAAGTCCAGAAGACTCCAATGGGCAGGACACCTCAGAAGACATTCTGACGAACGAACAGTAAGACTGGTGTGGGAGGAAGTCCCAACTGGAAGGAGACCACGCGGACGCCCTCGTCTCCGGTGGCGAGATAATATAGCAGGAGACCTAAGCACTATGGGCGTGGAGAATTGGATGGAGGTTGCTCAAGATAGAAAACAGTGGAGGCATGTTGTCGAGTCGGCTAAAACCCACGAAGGGTTGTAACGCCACGGAGTAAGTAAGTAAGTAATATGTATCGCTTGTCCACTCGTTTCTCTTCTTCTCGAGTGGATAAGAGAGAAAACAAAAGTGAGGGATGTTAGACAAGAAGTTGCAAAATTGAAATGGAGATTTGCCGGACACAATATAAGACAAAAAGAAGACCGATGGAACAAAATTCTTATAAGTTGGAGACCGTGGGAATATAAACGAAGCAGAGGAAGGCTTCAAATGAGATGGGCAGATGATATCAAGAAGCACGTGGGCTCTAGATGGATGACTGTAGCGACAGACAGAGAAGAATGGAGAAGGATTGGGGAGGCCTATGTCCAAAGATGGACCGAAGAAGGCTAATTAGATAGATAGAATATGTTATCGCATACTCAGTTGTGGCTTGTGAATTTCTGGGTGACAGTAAAATCTAGGAGCATAACGATTGTAATTATGGAGGGATTTAGCTAGTTTCTAGTCAATTTTTTTTGTTTTTAAGTTCGGTTATATATCGGTTGATTTTGTTAGTGTAGGTTAAACTGAGATTGCGAAGAAGTGACCGATGGTATTTGTTATCATCTAGGAGTTCCTGGCTCAGTTTAATGTATTGCTCTCTCACCATAAAGACTGTGGCATTACCTTTAACACTAGTTAATACCATAAGGTCAGGGTGTACTTTTCGAAAAGTGGACGTTTGTTCATAAATTAGATCAATATTGGTTTAGGCATTAGCTTATGTGAAAAGTTGGTGAGAATATTATTGGCAGATTATCCTAATTCGAGAAGTCTCTAGTTGCTCTAGATTTGTGAGCCGAACACCCATTCTGTTGGAAAAAAAACCCTGAAGATTAACGGGAAGGCATCGAACTGCCGGAATGATCTCATTCTGTAAAAGTTGTAAATATTTGGGACCGTTTAGGTTTCCATCGATAAAAAATGGCCCGACAATATGGTCGCCTAATATCCTCGTCCAAACATTTTACTTTTGCGGATGCTGCGTTAGCATTGCAACACTGAGGTGCATATTTTTTCGAGAATAATACCTTGCAACGGACGGATTGTGTATTTTATATCATGAATATAAAGATTTGCCAAAAATAAAATATTTTTAAAAAGTGTACATTTTCATTCTGTTTATCTAACATAAATTCACAAAACTCCATCCGCCTAAACTTATCTTTCGGAAACAGTTTTTGTGTTGGTTGTATTTTAAAACAGTGATAACGATTCAGCTCGAGACAGTTCGGGCATTCATGTTAACTTCTCTAGCAATTTGTACACTATTGCAGGGTTCACTAGCTTCCACAAAAGCACAAATATCAATATGACTCTCCTCATCGACAATTTGAAAATGTTTAATGGTATTTTTAAATGTTGTAACACTTGGTGGGAGTCTATTTTTGAAGGCAACAATAAATAAATCAATTACTTCGCGTATCAAATGACCCTGAAAGTACCATGTCACAATTTGCACTTGTTCTTGGTTGGTATACAACGTAATAAGCATTTTATTAATTACTTGTTTATTTTTTTAGACCTTCGTTTCAAAATTTTAATGTCAATGTGACAATTACGACAATTCGTACCTACTGTGAAATTAATATAGAAGTGGAAACGTGTATCATGTCACAGCGATTGCCATTGTGTTGTATGGTCAATAATGTCGTGATCCGTATATATAATATAATATTGAAATAAAACTATAAAAATTTAGGCAAATAAACCATAACAATTGTAAATAATATTAACCATAATTATAAGAGATGATACAATGAGGATAAATCTTTTACCAACAATAAACTTATTATCTTGTATCCTAGTTTTAATTAATATAGAAATTACTTAAGTTATACTTACCATTGTAATCAAAACATTCACGTTTCTATCCTCAAGCTCTAGTCCTTCAGGTTCCTCTTTATCGTCTTCAAATTCTAATACGACATCTTCACTTAGACCAACAGTTGTGTTCCAACTTCCTCTTTCTAACTTTGCTCCCCTAATTTGGTATATGGTTAACTGGAACGCGTTTCTAAAACGGTCTGGTCCAAATTCGATTATTCCTGTAATTCCTTCATAGGATCCCTAAAAAAATAAAATTAACACTTAAGCCGTAGTAATAAGCTTCAAATATAACCAGAGATGAAAAATACGAACTATTGACGAATGTAATGCAATCAAAAGCAGAATTGTAGGAAGACGTAAAATTGCCTGAATGACTTGTAATCACTGATAGGAGCGGAACATAAAGTAGAACTACATTTAGGTTACCTTTGTAGCGTCGATGCGTCGAATAAACATCCCTCACACACATTAAGTTCAAGGCCAGAACAGCTCAATTCGGAGAGGAATGGCGGGGTAAGGTCAAGTGTATAGAAATTATATAATATCTCAAAAATCCAAACACAATCAGATAATCCGAAATTATAATTTATTATTGGACGCCACCCCTTGTTTATCCTCGTAGGGGACGAGAGAGAACAAAAAAAATAAGATATATAGAAAAATTACAGCGAAATTACACTTTATTATTTCTCAGTAATAAAAAGAAACATTAAAATTTATGTTATTTCCAAAGAATACTAAAATACCATTTCATAATTACATTACTATAAACAAAACAACTTTATATCTTTTTAAATCAAGAATTGGTTGATAAAAATAAATGAATTTATGTATTATTTCCAAATTTAGAAATTCGTTTACATTTAAAATATTATAGTAGTTATTTATTAACTAGGCATAATAGAAAAGATAAATCTTGAAACAAAATTTAAAACACTGCTATATTTTCTTTCTCTGGGTTCATAATTATTTCTTGCTTTCTCGATAGGGTATAATAAATAAAGAAAGGTACAACCTTAATCGTCCATTAGCTGGCAACCATACACAAAGGATATGTTCTGCTTCCTCTCAACCTCCAAGCATCTCGTTAAATTAGTTATTATGGGTACATTTAGATCATAAGGAAATATTGGGCTGCGTTTACGACAGCATAAGACTTCTCAGTTAACTTCGAGTCAAATAAACATAATTCTTCTTCTTCTTTCAGTGCCTATTCGTTCCGAATATTGGCAATCATTCTGGCTATAATTATTTTATTGACTGATGCTTTAAATAGATTCGTTGTTGTTGTGGAAAACCATTTCCTCAGGTTCTTCAACCATGATATTCTCCTTCTCCCAATTCCTCGCTTTCCGAATACTTTACCCTGTAGGATTACCTTCAGTAATCTGTATTTAGTGCTGTTTCTCATTATATGTCCGAGATATTCCAACTTTCTCCTTTTAATGGTATACATCATCTCTCTTTCTTTGCCCACTCTTCGTAATACGGTCTCGTTGGTTATCTTGTCTGTCCATGATATCCTTAGAATTCGCCTGTATAGCCACATCTCGAAGGCTTCAAGTTTTTTCTCCATTGCTTCAGTTAGTGTCCAGGATTCAACTCCGTAATACAATATTGAGAAGATATAACATCGTAGGAGCCTTACTTTTATCTCCAGATTAAGATTGTGGCTTTTAAAGAGTTTGGCCATGTTATTGAATGCACTCCTAGCCTTCTCTATTCTACATTTTATTTCTGTGAGTGATCCCATTGTTCATTTACTGTTGTTCCAAGATAGTTATACTGTTTTACTCGGTCCACTGGTGTATTATTGATAAGTAGTTGAGCGTCTCTAACTTTATTTTTGCTGATGATCATAAATTTAGTTTTTGTTATATTTACTTGAAGTCCAAATCTTTCACTTACTTCATTTACTTTGTTTATTAGTTGCTGTAAACCGTTCAAACTGTCTGCAAAAATAACGGTGTCGTCTGCATAACCAATGTTGTTTAGGCGTTCTCCATTTAGAAGTATTCCATGTTCGCATTTTTCCAAGGCTTCACTAAATATTTCGTCTGAATATAGATTAAATAATATAGGTGAAAGTATACAACCTTGTCTAACGCCTCGTAGGATCTGGATCATTTCCGTTGGTTCACCTCCAAAATTCGTTCTTATTGTGACATAATTAATGATCTTTTATTGTCCCCGGTAAAAAGGTCTAAAAATAATTATTTATCTGGAAATATAGACAAAAAAAGGCCTTTTTTCTTTGGCTTACCTCTATATAGAGACCACTTCACAAAAACGCGTCCTAACAGTTGGATGTTTGTAAGAGAAAAAAGACAGACGCTATCATTTCCCGGTTTGAATTGGGGCGTGATTGACAAGTTAATAATCGTTCTCATCTATCGGATAGGTTTAGAATTACAGTAGAAACCTTAAGTCGGCTACAAGTACCCGGCAGATAGATGGGGTTAGCAGTTTTATTTAAAAAAAAAAATAATCGAATTTATAATGAATTTCCTAAAACTTTTGAAACGGTTACACCTTGCCATTATGACAGATATACATTTAATTATATGCAATCTTAGATTCAGTTATCAGTGATTAGTGACTAAAACAATAGTTTTATTATTGTTATTATTTGTTTATATATATATATATATATATATTATATATATAATATATATATATATATATATATATATATATATATATACGTATATATAATAATTTAATGATTTTAGGCCCATAATCCCCGAATACAATGTACAGTTTAAAAAACTAACCAGGAAAGCATAAACTACTAAAAACAGTTTGAATTATATTATTTGTATAAAGGTTAAAAGTATTTTACTCACAATTCGATTAAAGTTGGAAAAAGAAAATGCTCCCTAGTTGGCTATTTGTTTTGTTGTTTACAAACTTTTATAGCATCTTCAAGAAACTGAGGTTAAAATACATAGTGTATACAAATAAATGTGTATATGACAAAAGCCAGCCAAATATTAAAATACAAAATCGTACCATAGAAAATATTGAACATTATGTATATCTAGGTCATGTTATCAAACTAGGAAAACCAAATAAAGATGCTGAAATTAAAAGAAGAACACAACTGGCATGCGGCGCTTTCGGAAAACTAGCTTATATCTTGAAAAACACCTTTATTCCTGTAAACTTAAGGCTGTTTTATCGGTGCACCAAAATTTTTTCTCTGTTATTTACCGACGAAATGTCTCGAAATTTGGACATGTTATACGAAATTATGTTGCCTTTAAACTGATGGTTTTACTTTTTTTATTTTTTTGAATTTTCTGTTGAAAAATTGGATTATACTGTTTAACGTTCTATTATAACCAAACTTTTCACGCCCATCAGTTGAAAGAGTTTTTTTTTCTGTAATCGTTGATTCTTTTTTCACCTTTCTGTGTCCAGTAATAATCGAGAAAAGCGTATTCAAACTTTGAAGAAAATTGCTAAAAAATACTGAAATCTAATAGTGAAACGTGTTCCTCATCATTGTCGCTGAGCTTGATCGTTATCGCATTAGTGACGTCAAATCTCATGAGCGTACGGTATGGTCTTATTTTTATTTCTCTATGGGTACGGTCAGTTAGTTCGCTTGAATTTGAATCCATTTTAGTTCTTTCATTCTTGTATTTTCTTTATCAACTTGCTTAGTTTTTACAGTTTACAGTATTCTTAATTATTTTGAAAACATTGAAACTATTTAGTTTACGTGTATGTTAAGTAATATATTATTAGTTTAGTGGTATAAGTTAAAAGTTCTTTAGTTTACGCGTATTTTTAAGTATTACATTAGGTTAGTGATATAAGTTATAAGAGACAAGATAATAAATGAGTCCCAGTAAACGTCCTATGTCAAGGAAAAGGAGAGCAATTGCACTGCTTTAGTATTTATTATTTATATTACAACCGTTTTTAAAAGCTTTTATTTAACTTGTCAAATGTGGAATATTGAAAAGGAGATAGCAACATAGGATTCTGGTAACAATTCACTGAACTTGAATGGTTCTGGTTATTCAGACATACAGCAGCAGCACGCTGCAATAAATATACCTGTGATTTCCTACAGTCAGTATGCAAAACATACGGAAACAGTTGCAGATATCATCGGCCAAACACTTTGTGATTCCTTAGAAGAGGCTGGACGGGAGGAATTAGCTTTAGCCAAAGAAATTGGTGAAGTAGATTCCGACGGAAATGGGTTAATAACCGTTATAGCTGATGGTGCTTGGTCAAAAAGATCGTATAAAGTAAACTACGATGCTTCTTCAGGTGTAGTACCTGACGTTGTAAAATTTATTAAATTAGTACGCCTTTGATGGATAGGACATGTAATTAGGCGAGATGAAGATGAAACGATCAGAAAAATTTTCGACCGAAGAGGACCAGTGGGAAGACGATCCAGAGGAAGACCAAAACTTAGGTATCAAGATAACATAGAGGATGATCTAAAATCCATCGGAGTTAAAGCATGGAGAAAGTTGCCAGAGGCAGGGGCGAATGGAAGATTGTTCTGAAGCAGCCTTTGGCTCATGACGAGCTGTAATGCCACTGATATGATGAAATACCTATCCACGATTTGTGTTTTATTCATCAATTGGATACTTTTCTTATGTAACTGCAACCTATAAATATATTAAAATAATGTATATTCCATTCAGAGAACATTTTCCTCACAGTGCGTCGCCTCGAAATACTTGCCAGATAAATACATTTACTATTATGATGGTTCGCAGGTACCAATTTTTTATAGATAAATAAAAATATTTTTTGTTTAATTTTAACTACCCTAATATCAGTTTTCTCTAACAAACATTAACAAAATATTAATTATATATTAATATTAATATAACAAAATTTAAATTTATTATAAATAAACACCATGGTGTTTTTTGCAGTCACGTTTCACAAATTTTTATTTAATACTATGTTTAGCTAAGACATATAAATTAAAAATGTGATTAATTCTTTTTAAAACATTATCTACGATAATTAATCTAAAAAAAAGTATTCCGACAAAACTAATTTGAATGGAGAATGCATTTATTTTAAACAACCCGTGGGCCGGCGCCACTGAATAAACATCCAAACTATTAGGAAGTCACGTAGAGTCTGACATAGCAGTGTAGAAAAGTAAGTGATACGCCCACTTCAAATCGCAGTATGCTATAACTGCGAAAACAGCCTTAAAGAAAACAGTGTATAACACATGCATAATACTAGTT